AGAGAGAGAGAGAGAGAGAGAGAGAGAGAGAGAGAGAGAGAGAGAGAGAGAGAGAGAGAGAGAGAGAGAGAGAGGGAGGGAGAGAGAGAGTTAGAGAGAGAGAAAGAAGAGAGAGAGAGAGAGAGAGAGAGAGAGAGAGAGAGAGAGAGAGAGAGAGAGAGAGAGGGAGGGAGGGGCTATTAGGTCGATGGCAGCCGCCCTGAGATAGAATCTGGTTTGGCCAATAGATCTAAGAAAGAAAATTACATGTAGGTCTAGACACTAGACGGTCAGAGAACGTATAGCATAGCTGTAGGCCCAATATCCACATGATATACATGTAGCCTAATATGTAGGCTAGTACCCATTTTAAACGTCTTTGAGTTTGGCTGAGAAATGAATTCATTCATATTATGCTCGATTGATTAATCACTTATACGGTATGAAACAGTTACCCAAAATGAAAAAGGGATCGAGTTTTTAACTGTAAATTAGATGGGCATAGAGATTCCTCTCTCCTCAGCATTATCGCTTCATTAGGCCTAGGCTAGGGGGAAAAAAAGACGCTGTAAAATCCTGGTAAACTTGTTGGCCAATGCGTCAATGCGGCAATACGCCCAATTATCCAATCATCCAATGTGGCCAATGGTCAACAAAAAAACCCCTACAACTACAAACAAGAGCAGGAAGACCCGTGGAACTTGAACTGTTGAGTGTTGAATTTTCAGTTTTTAGATATATAGAGATCTATATAGATCTAGATCTAGGCCTAGGCCTACTTTTCAAGTGAAGTTACTGGTTTTAGATTCCTTGCTGAAAGCTTGTTTAAAACTTAGTTTAAGCTGTTTGAAAAGTTCTGTAGTAAGGGTGAGAAGATCTGGCTGTCTGGCTTTGGATTGAACTGTTTCGGAGCGGTAAGTAAGCATTTATTATTGTTTGAAGTTGAAGTTTGATGATGGCATGGTATTATCATGGCCATGGCAGTGGCATGACATGGTTCAGGTTGAGAGCGTACAGAGTTTGTATCGTTCACGTTCACTTTCGTCTGTACATCTAGATTCTTGGCGCTTTTTCGGTAGTTCCCACCACCCTTATTTGATAGAGCCTGACCTACATCTAGATCTAGAATCTAGATCTATATACGTTTGATTCGCGGCAAGCTAAGATGTCAAACCTAACAACTGCAAAACATTAAATTGTGGTAAAATTCAGGGGGGCATGCCCCCCTGAAACCCCCCACCTTGTTTTTATTAGGTCAGGGGGGCAAGCCCCCCTGAAACCCCCTTACTCTTGGGGCCAAAACCGGCGAATAACAAATGCGGGGTGGGAACTACCGAAAAAGTGCCGATTTTCTATCTAATGTAGCATGCCCCCCTGAAACCCCCCTTCCTATTTTTGTGTACCGTGTACGTAGACATAGTGATGAATAAAAGTAGGTACGAAGTGTATACAGACCCGGTAACCGGGAACAAAGTCACGAAGTATACAGACCCGGTAGGGGAACTCTTGTGATTTCGGGAAGTTTCAGCGCCCAGACCCGGTAGTGTGTGTGTGTGTGTGTGTGTGTGTGTGTGTGTGTGTGTGTGTGTGTGTGTGTGTGTGTGTGTGTGTGTGTGTGTGTGTGTGAGAGAGAGAGAGAGAGAGAGAGTGAGTGAGAGAGAGAGAGCAGGGGGAAGTGCTAGCAAAATGTATGCCCCAGTTGGCAGGAGGGAACGAGAGAAAGATAGAGTGGGAAATAGGTGGGGAGAAAGAAAGACAGAGACAAACAAAGAAAAAGAGAATGCGAGTGATACACAGCGACAGAGGAGAGAGAGAGAGAGAGAGAGAGAGAGAGAGAGAGAGAGAGAGAGAGAGAGAGAGAGAGAGAGAGAGAGAGAGAGGGGGGGAAGGGAGAGAGAGAGAGAAAGAGAGAGAGAGAGAGGGGGGGGGGAGGGAGAGAGAGAGAGAGAGAAATAGAGAGGGTGACTGCTCGATTGAAATTATGACATTGTTCTTTTCTTCAAATTGTGATTCCTCCAACTCCAAAACGGAGGAAAAACGATCGTTCATCAAAAATACATCCGCAATCTTCATTTAGATTTAGATCTAGATCTAGGCTAGCCTCGAAACTAGATCAATGATTTATCTGTCTGTCTAGATCTAGACCTAGATCTAGGCCATAGATCTAGAAGAACCTAGTTCTACCCTGAGCCAAGAGGGCGCTGAAACTTTCCGAAATCACGAAAGAGTTACCCTACCGGGTCTGTATTGTATACTTTGTGACTTTATTCCCGGTTACCGGGTCTGTATACACTCCCAAGTAGGTAGCCTAGATCTCTAGATCTAGATCTAGAATTCTAGATCCAGTGTCAATTGCCACTGAGTGACGTGGTGACAATTGACGCTGATCGAGTTAAATTGGAGCTCTTTTTTGCGTTGGTGAGTATGTGTGCTCGGTGTTCTGCGTTCTTGAACTTCAGCTTGGCTTACGCACGTGTGGCACGCCTCTCTGCGCCCCCCCCCCCCCCCCCCGAGCTGTGTAAAGTGTGTGTGTGTGTGTCTGTGGTATTTTTTTACTTTCCCTCCCGTCTCACACTCAGCTACCAGTGTCTATTTTCTGCTAAATATTGATGCGCTGAACACGAATATCAACTTCATTTCCGTTGCAAATTAATAGTTTTTTTGAAATATTTGATTGTTTTTAACCGAGATAGACATGCTTTTTTGGACCAATCGGGGGGTTCCAGGGGGGCCTGCCCCACTGGGGTAAAAGAAAATCTGGGGGGTTACAGGGGGGCATGCCCCCCTGTTTTTACCCATAATGATATTTTACAGTTAGATTTGAAATTGTCTTGAAAATAATTGATTTGCGACAGTTTTAGTGGCTTTATGTGTGATCTGCAGCAAACAGTACAGCAGTTTGACCCCTGAAACAGTGCATCTGTGTGCGGGAGTGAAAGTAAAAATTTACCGTGTCTGTAGTGTGTGTGTGTCTCTCTCCCTAACCCCTGTCCCCCGGGTGCTGGATTTATGTTCCCTGATTGATATAAGGTCTTTAAAACGCATTTTGGCACCTCGCTTTCCGTACGGTCGCATGTCAGTCTGGCCCCTGGCTCCGCGCACATATGTGCCAAGCATCATCCATGTGATGGTAACCTGTCATTTTGTCACGCGATCTTCTCGGCACTCTTCGGGAGAAGAAGTGGTCCCGGCTTAACACACAATCGGAAACAAAAACGGAAGTCGATTACCACTACCAGTAGCTCTCTCCAGCCGTCCGCACAGGATCGAATCAAAGACAGACGGGATGATGAAAGACTCATCATTGGAGTAAACTGACTGAGTTGCCAGGGTGAAAAGACCACTGGTAAATTATAGAAAAGGTCCAGACACATTTGAGACTATTTTCGGCACTATTTTTTTTTGTGTGCTGAGAACAATTGTGAGCTCTAAATAACAGCCACACCATTTTTTTGTGAATTTAGCAGGGGGGAGACCCCCTTGTTTTCCCGAAGAGAACCATCATCTTGTCACACCCCAATTATGTGTGTGTGTGACCAAATGACTTCGCTTATATGTATCTCTAAAAAATTGTGCTACAGTAGAGTTTTGGAGGTCCAGCCAGCCTATTTAAGCTTTTTTTGAAATTATATTAAAATGCAAATTAAATCTTCGTCTAAACTGTTCCATAGCTGAACAGGGTCTAGCTTGTAGCAAAATTGCAATGCTGTACATTTTTATTAGCTAATCTATTTTTAACAGAACTAATATGATCTTACCAACCACTCCTTTCATCAGTTGTTCTGACTCGGTAAATTTTAATACGAAGTGGCTAGCCGTACTTAAGTACGGCTAGACTGAGAGTCTAGCCGTACTTAAGTACGGCTAGACTGCCAGTCTTGCCGTACTTAGATCTAGGTTTGGCCCAATCGACTCAAGCCTGTTAAGTACACAGGTCTCATTAGATCTAGATCTAGTAATTATTCAGGTTCAAATACATGCAAGTCAGTAAGGCACCTTTTGGTTTAGTCTGAAATACAAATACTTTAGGCATTGCAAACTAAAAATTTCATTTACAATTCAGCCATCTGTCTGAAATACAAATCCTCTAGGCATTGCAAACTAAAAATTTCATTTACAATTCAGCCATCAATATTAAGTACCGCTAGCCTGACAGTCTAGCCGTACTTATCTTAGGCCCTATTAACATTAGAAAACAGGAGGTTTAAAATACATGCACTGTCATTAAGGCCCCTGGTTTCGTCTCA